TTTTTTTTTTTTTTTGCTTTGATTTGGTGATTTTAGCTTAAATTTTCTTACTTTGAGCTATAAAGGGGCAGAGAGAGAGGGGCTTCCAGTTGGAGGGTTTTGTTTCTTTTAGCTAGGATTCATTGTTGTGGATTTATTGCTGCAGAAGGAGAGAAAAGCAGATGAGTACTGCTCATCAAGAAGAGATCAGGCAATTCCAGGCATTAATGGAAGATGGTGAGCTTTAAACATTGAGGATTCATTTAACTTTGTTGGGTTTTCTTCTTTGATCTGCAATCACTAATATTTTTTCCTTTTTTTTTTTTTTTTTTTTTTTTTAATACAGTGGATGACACTCTGAAGCATACATTTAAGGTTGGTTTTCTTGCTGATTCAGTTCATTGGATTAATTTTCAGCTTGGACGCTGTGAAATGGAATTAAATCCAAGAAATTGGTTAATTTTATCAAGTATTTGTGAATTTGGACAAGAGAAGATTGTATTAAACTTACAATGATTAAATCTTTGGGCTCAATTTCGTTGAAGTGAAATAGAGAGTTGGACTTGATTTGGACACTCATTAGTTCTTATCATTCAATTCTATGGTCAACAGTTTTTTCATCCTTATATCTCATATCTCTTTCTTGATTTATTGTCACTGTACTTGGGTTTTTCTCTTTGGGTGCATGACGCATCTAGTTATATAACTTGATCCAGAGATTATTTGCTAGTTTGATCTTTAGGACTGTGCTCAGACTGCTTGTTACCATAGACAGTTCAATAGAAGAAGTAAAAAAATATGTGGTGGTAAAGCTGGATTTTAAATTGAATATGTAGGACTCATAAAATTGATGTATGGTTGACAAAGTATATATTGAAGAGTTTAGTGTAAAAAAATATTAGAAGCTTGGTTGAGGTGGTTTAGTTTTTATTCATTCAATAGTCTGAAAGATAAATTGGCACTATGCAGCTTCTAATATTTTGAATGTTATTTGCTTTAACATTTTTTAATATTTTGAATTTTTTTCTAAACATAATTTTTCCCCTTATGTTGTCTTGCTGCTTTATTCGTACAGCTCTTTCTGATGTTGTTTGGCTAATGGATATTCTGTGTTCATTTTAGAGACTGGTTTTATTTTTTTTAATGATAGCCTAATTTTAGGCTAATTTCCTTGTTCTCCAGAACATGCACCAGGGTTATCCAACTGAAACTTTGATTCGTTTTCTCAAAGCAAGAGACTGGAATGTTCAGAAAGCTCATAAAATGGTTAGGTTCATGTCCTTCACTTAAGATGTTGTTTAATCTTTTAGCTGTTTATGGTTGCTAATTTTGATTGCTTTTCCAGTTGATTGATTGCTTACAATGGAGAATACAGAATGAAATTGACAATATCTTAGCAGTAAGTGTTCTTGTGTATGTTAACCAATGTTGTATTGGTGCATTGTATAACCAATTGCATATGCTGCTACTTGTTCTAATCTTTTTGCGGGGCTTGATGGTGAGGTGTAATGCATTTAGAGTGGTAGTCTGTTGTTTGACAGGTGGAAGTCATTGACTGCTGAGATACAGAGATATACTGATATACAAATCATAAAATACAGTAAATTGTTATAAAATTTGTATAATGGTTCTTGATCAATTTATGGAAGTTAATGATGTTGTAAATCCATATTTGATTCTGGTGACCCAGTGTGTAGTAAATGCTGCTTCCTCTTGGTGCAGAAACCTATCCCAATTGACTTGTACAGAGATATTCGAGATTCTCAGCTTGTTGGATTGTCAGGCTACTCGAAAGAGGTACAATTTTTCTCTTCAATGAGCTTTGAAATTCCTGCCATCTTAGTGGGCGTGACAAATTTGTTTTGCAATGAGATGTATTGTAAAATTCTGCTTTCATGGTCCTCATGGATTCATTTTCTTTGGAGGAATATAAATTCCATCAAATTCCTTGTTCATTGACTGACTCATGTATCATGGTTTTCCAAATGACTTTGCCAGGGTCATCCTGTTATTGCTGTTGGTGTTGGGCACAGCACATATGATAAAGCATCCGTAAGATTCTTATGGCTTCTTCATCATGTATTTGGTTTTTCACCAATGTGCTCTATGATTGCTAAGATCTGGTCCAATATTTGATACTAAAATGCAATTTCAAAGAAATCATCCCATGGCTTCTATGTGGGGCATTTTCTTTTCAGTATGATTTCCTGAAAAATTAAATCTTGAATATTGTGTCTCATGTAGATAAAGGACATGTATGCATGAGTTTACAACTGTATTGCATACAGCATTGTTAAGACAAATTAAAAGGATACAATATGCCAAGAGGAGGTGGGAGGGAATGTGTTATTGATGTTGGGAACACTGACACTTCATAATGTGTTAAATAGGAGAATTGAAAATTTCTCTTCATCAAGCGGATATGCGGAGTTTCCTTACTAATGCCTTGTAGAGTGGAAGGCAAAAAGACTTAGTTTCTTGCAGTTCTATTTATGTATTTATTTGAAATTTTTGGCGTGAAATTTACACTAACGATTTTTGTATTTTAGGAGAATTACTATATACAGTCATATATTCAAATGAATGAATATAGAGATCGTGTAATTTTGGTGAGACTCGAGATCTTTCATTGTACTTTGTGCTATCTTTCTTGTACCTAACCTATTGCTTCTGTTATAGCCCTCAGCAACAGAAAAGTATGGAAAGCATATTGGTACATGTCTGAAGGTTTTGGATATGACTGGCTTAAAGCTTTCAGCACTGAGCCAAATAAAGGTATGTTCTGTCTCAATATGTAAAGTGGTGCTTAGGGGTGGGCACTCTACCACGGTACCTCTTTCTTCTCAAATGAGGGGGGAAGAAAGATTGCTCAGGGGATCGACTTAAGTTGATTTGGGCTTTTCATCTTCCCCAATATCAAGCTGTGCAGAATTTTACAATTGCAGCAAGTCTTTTGCAATTGTTTTCTCCTCTTCTTTACCTTCAATTTCGTATTGATGATGGGTGTGGGTTTTGAGATTTTGAATTTCTTTTGATTCTTCTATGAGATTTGATTTTTAGATTTTGTGGGTTTCTCTTAATTCTCCTATGAGGTTTGATTTTCCGATTTTTTTGAGTGATGATTGTAAAGATCAAAATTTGAAGATGCTGTGAAATGCCCTGAGTTTTGGAACATCAGCACAGTACCGGCAGTCTCTCCTTCCATACCGTAAAATTCAGTTGGCAACCGATTATCGTAAACCATTCTTTGGTATGGTTTTGGTTGCCTCAGTTGATTACCGTATTTCTACGGTTACTGGAATTTGGGTGCAGTATGGTTACGAAACTGTACATACCGTGCCCACCCCTAGTGGTGCTGTAATTGTCCTAGATGGAAAGGAAGAGCAGAAAACAACTTATATTACTCTGCTAATGCTTTTCTTGCAAATGAATGTTATTCTTGTGTGCTGTTTGTCTGCCAATGCAGATATTGACAAAAATAACAGCAATTGATGACCTGAATTATCCTGAGAAGACAGAAACATACTATATTGTCAATGCTCCATATATATTTTCAGCATGTTGGAAGGTTTGTTTTTATCTTGGTTTCATCTATCTCATCAGCCCCAGATAGGATTGAAGCATGAGATTTTCTTCCCCAATCGTTGGCAGGTTGTGAAACCTCTCTTGCAAGAAAGGACAAAGAAGAAAATTCAGGTCCTTCAAGGTTGTGGGAGAGACGAGTTATTGAAAGTAAGAAAAATTTAGGGATTCACGTTCTTTTAAATCTTCTGTGTCATTTTCATGTTTTTCAAATGCACTTCACTTTGCACTTATGTTGGAAATTGTTATTTGAACTATAAAAATGCTTCGATACTCCAGGAAAGCATTGTAGTAACATATATATTCAAGCATGCATATTAGTTCTTTTGCTTTTGTCAAGGTCACTCGTAATGTTAGCAAACTCATCTTCCTTTATAGCAACTTGATATATTCCAACATACGGGCATGGTTCTGGCCACACAAATGTTTAAATGCTATCTTTTAAAGTATTGATTCAATGATTCTGTTTAGTTTGACTACTAGAAACAGCTAATAACTATAACTGTTGATAAATAACAAAATAATTGATATTTATTACTTAGCAGATTAAAATCAGTTTACACACTGATATTTTCAAATACCATAACTGACTGTTTACAAAAAAAAAAAATAAAGTTTGTGTGGCCTTAAGCACTACCCCACCATACATTGTGGTATGTACATTGTGTCTGGATTTGGTTATGAAAAAGAAAGCTTCACTGACCATGCTAGTGGCTGACTGCTTATATTCATGAACTTAGATTTGAAAGAAATTGACTGTTTTTGGCTTACGTGAAATTCTGCTCCTAATGCTATAGTGCTTGAATGACCTTTGGTTAAACTATCAGGCTCTCTAACGCTGTTGGCTTTTACTTTTCTGCAGGTAATGGATTATTCATCCCTGCCACGTTTTTGTAGAGGAGAAGGTTCAGGATCATCTCAGCATAATGGTAACGGAACAGCAGCTAATTGTTTCTCGTTAGATCATGACTTTCATCAACAGCTCTACAATTATGTAAAGCAGCAAGCTGCACTACAGTCCATTCCACTGATCAAAGAGGGATCAGTCCATGTTAAGTTTCCTGAACCGGACTCAGGAGATGCCAAAATTGTAGAGACCATAGAGTCTGAGCTTCAAAGGCTTGGGGATCAGAATGGCGTTCTCAAAAGTTAATGGAGACTTAAGGTTTAGATTATACTAATTGTATGATGAGCTAGATATCAATTTGGTTGTAGTTTTGTTTGCCTCAACTCGATGCAGGGTTTGTAGGGCAGCACATCCTGATGGGAAGGATGACAAATCCTTTTCTATTCTCCATGTTGGAATCATGTGTCTTTCAATCTTATAATTTCTCAGAAGTAATTTAATATGGTGCTTAAAGAGATCACGGGTGGTCTTATATTCTCATCTTAGAACTCATTGCCTTCACTTTCTCTGAAGAGGGATTACTAAATTGACTAGGACTCATTTATGATTTTAGTTTAGTTCCATTACTTGCTCCTTAATTAACCATGAAGATCCTTCACAAGCCACTCCACAAATATTGCCAGAATGCACATGAATATAGTTAGTTCTTGAGATGGAAAAGCACTAGGTAACTTAAATTATCACATCATTAAAACCAAAGTAAATACAAACCAGAATTCTAATTTAACTGCTTGTAGCAGCCATAGGCAACAGCAACTGACATTGCAGCAAAGACAACGGCAAGAGCGGCGTATGTATCATCACGTTCCCAGCTCTCAAACCACGTAGGTGTGGCACAAACCTTGCGCACAGAAGCACCTTTACCACTATTGATCTGGGAAATTAGTTTCTTGCCAGCCTTCTTTTCTAGTGGCAACTTTACTGCACTACTTTTGGCATCCCAATCATCTACTTTTTCTGGTAGAACAGGGTTCTGACAGCAAGAAATCTCATCTCCCTGGCAACAGCCATTGCCTTCGGTTTGAGATGTACATGCAGGTATTTTCTCCCCAGCTACTTGTCTTTGTGTTTCTTCCATGGAGCTTCCATCTATATTTGTCTCCCCATTCACTTGGAGCCTTAGTTCTTGAAATTTCTTCTGTTCTTCTTCTGACAAACCCATTTGGCCCCTGAAATTGCCATTCAAACTCTAGTCAACCTGGTAAACACATTATAATCTATTACAGTAACAATCTTTATTGTTCCTTTGGTAAGATTTTAGCCTAGGCCCCGTAACAAATATCTAATACACAAGAGCAAATACTACAAAGAAGAGGCTAATTGTTTTCTTAACATGCTCATACTTCTATATGAGATAAACTTCCCACCGATTTCTTTTATCCTAGCTGCTTCCATTTAAATTACTAAATTTGTATAACAAATAACTATTGATTCTAACGTCACATAGAAACCAAGTAAAAAGTGGGGGCAAGATGAGATAAGAAGTAAAAAGGCCACCTCCAAAGCCGGTCTACAATTTCTCCTTTTCCAATGTGTCGCTCCAGCAACAAAGGCACGTCATCTGGAGTAACATATCCATACCTATGGGAAGAATTAGAGAAAAGAATGGCTCAAGATCATATCTAAAGCAGGAAGTGAAGGCTTTCTTTAAATTAAAAAGGCAAATTAAAAGCTGTGGCTGGTGAAAAATGTAAGCAATAGAAAAGGGAAAGATCCCTTACCAATGTCCATTGATTTCTCCATTAACATTCGATCCAAAGATAATAACATTGCCTGCATACTTGTGCCCACCAATATGCGAGCATGGGCTTACAGACACTTTACCTTGAAGACCATGTACTTCAATCTCTTCTTTGAATCTACTAACCAGCTGAGGTCCACAAACTCCACAACGACGATCACGAGACCCATGAGAACAAACAAAAACATATGAACCTTTTAGTGGCTCAGGAGTCCCCGGCAGCCATTCACCATCCTTGACAAGAACTTCTTCAACAAAAGTGTCAACATCAAAATGGGTCAATCTCCTGCATCCGTTGGTGAGATAAAAATCAGTACCAAGTCAAAAAATGGAGGAAATTAAAGAAATCAAAAGTGACTTCTAGTTGACCTGTATCTGATCATGTCTGGGAAAATCAACACATCTCCATTTGATGTCTCAGTTCCATCATGCCCCTCACATATTGTTAGCCGGGTCTGGAGGAAGAAAGTGTAGAAATAGAAAATACTGAGAAATACTCTCTAAAGCAGCGAACCAGTCTCTACAACCTCAAGAGGATCAATTTCCAGGATAAATAAAAAGTCTAAGATTGCAGATAAAATAACAGACAACACCCTACTATGACATCACTGATCATTTACCTATATCCTAAAGTACCTATAGCTGCCAAATGGTATTCATACAGACTTGGAAAAAGTTATTGTATTTAATTCCTTCAGGTTATACTACTGGTCAGCTTATCACAGTCAGTAAAAATGAATTGTAAACTCTTTAAATTCAAAGGACTATCTTGATCATGTGTAATTGCCTCCTGGTCCAATGCATTGTGGAATTCACAAATCCTGCTTTCTTTGGTATCTACTCATGGACAAATTGACTATGCACAGTTTTTTTTTTTTTTTTCTCTTTGATATACTAGAGCACGTGGTTCAAGCTTGTGGGGTAAAGGGGAGGGGGAGGGGGAGCACAGGTTCAAAGTCATGTCATAAGGGTGTGGAACCCTTTTATACTAGTGACAAAGCCACTTCAACTACCAACTCTCCACAACCATGCACAGATTTTCATTAAACAAGTTATGAAGCAGCCACATGCTGATATTCCATAGCAATGCTCTAAGCCTCTACCACACCTGAATTTGCTATGTTATTATATGATATACTTAATACAACAAGGCTAGTAAAACTGCATTTATCACATTGTTAATGCCATGAAAGATGTCATAAAACTATTATAAAAGTTTTTAAAGCCATTCAATAACCATATGCCATGTAAAAGAAGAAAATCTAATAACCTGTTATTAGAGTTTTGGATATTTAAATCAAGATTCCTAAAAAATTAACAAGGGGACAGGCATGCAACTATGGTAATCATTTATCATCATTTTTGAAAAGTTTCATTGTATGAAGACTCTTCATATTATGTTGTACAGCACTCCTATCATTTATTTCCTTTTCCGATTGGATAAATTAAGTACAAACCCCCAAGCTTGCAGCACACACTTACATATTATCATACCAATTATGTCCTTTTTGTATTTTACGTGCTAGTCATAATGCCCTACAATAGTCACAACGCCAAATATCATACAACCTACATATTTCTAGAGTTATGATATATATATTTTTTATTCCTTCAATATATATACTCTTCCCATAGCAAAGCCTGAATGCTAAACCCCAAATTGTGAATTCCTAAACTTTTTAACATAAGCTAAAAAGCGCAGTTATCTCCATGTGTCTTACATTCTCTAACCTCCACAACCTAGTTACCAACTTTGAAATAACTCTTCCCATATCATTTACTATCATAAACCATTATAAAGACCTTGGCATCTCTCATAAACAAAATATATCCACAAACAACCAAAATCCCGCCTCAATTTGCTAAAGGCGGAGTGTATTCCATATTAAAATAGAAAAACCACAGACCTCAAAATCAATTTAAAAAAGCCCAAGAAACCAGCACTTCCGTTCACCAAAATGGAACACAACACACAAAAATGGCAACTTTGACGCTAAAAGTACATTCTTTCTCACAAATCCAAATCTTTCCTAGAACCCTCAAATCCAGAATCAGCCAAAATCCTTATGGACTTACTACTAAAAGTGAAACCAAGCTGCATCCTTGTGACCAATTCACAGCTAAAACGCACCAGCTAAAAACTGCCCAAGAACCCATACTGATTCACAAAAGCAACCCAAGCGGTTAACACACATTAACACCCAATCCAAGAAACCCCTACTCACATCGATTTAGCGAAAGTAAAACGCAACCTCCATTAAAGATGATCACTCTTACGACACAACAACCTGAAAGCCCCAAAAGGCAAGCAAAACCGACCCGCATCAAAGAAAATCACAAGCGACCACAAAAACGCACCTTTTTCTTCATATCACTCTTCCTAGCCGACACAGCAGCCGACAACAACCTCGGCAATCGATCGAACTCCGCGGCCTCGATCCTGGGAGGCCACACGGATGGGTTCTTGTAGCACAGAAACAAGTGTCGTTCGTACAACTGCACGGTGCCGGAAAGTGGGCTCTGCCTGAACTCCGGCCTCGAGAACCCAAATTCTGCATCGGTATTGCTTGCACTGGCGCTGTCACCCAGCAATCCTTCATTCTGATAGCTTCCAGAGGCGCTTCCAATGTGGGAACCAGGATCTTGAAGATAGCTATCAAGGTGCTCAGAGACTGTAATTGGAGAGGAGGAAGAGGATGGGTTGCTACTGAATGTTAGTGGGTCGTCCCTGTTACTAGCCATTAGTGAAGACACAAGAGAAAGTGGTGAGATTTAACACAGCCAGAGATGGTCGGAGGGGTTCGGGTTTCAGTGTCTTTGAGTGGTGTAGGAAGTGGGATCTGTGCGTATGGTGCGCACTGCGCTGTAGGTAGGACCGTACTCGTGAGATTTTTTTTTATTTTTTTTCAATTTCCCCCAAAAAATTAAAAGACCTTACCTTTTAGTTTTCAAACGTATGTTTGTTACTCCGGAGTCCCTATGTTAGCTTTTGTCACACAAATTTTTGGATTTTACTTTGAGATACTGCAAGAGGGTGAAGGGTTGTTTTTGCAACCAACCCAGACACTGAGTTCTCACCCAACGATGGCTGGATGCATTTATTGGTTTAAAGATAATATGGAACGCAATGGCTATGAAAGGACCACCAATCCTGAATGGCATTAGCTTGTTGCCATGATTCGAATTGGTATCCCGGGGCTTCAAGATCTTCTTCCTTGTCAGTAAGAGCTAGTTAAGTATCTGATACACCAAGGATTCATTTTCACTGCAAAATCATTAACAGATAACCCAACAATTTGTCCCATTTACAAAAAGTTAGACCCCTGGAGTTGATTTAAAAGTCATCCTCTGGTGCACTGAGTTCATCTCGCCAAACAGACGAGTAACAAATTTCATTCCACCACTCTCAGGTGTACACACGACAATTCATAATTGTACACAATCTGAATCGGCAATTTCACAGAGCGTTCTCACCTGGAAGATAAGAAGGCAATCCACCTTCAACTTGGCTCTTTTTTCGATGAAAGATACCGCTGATGTTAGGCAAAAGCACTTTTTTGGAAACAGAGGTCTTGGCCTTTTCCAACTTTCGAGTCTCAATAATACTTCCCGGTGGTGGTGGGTTTTGCTTTTGAATCCTGTAGTGCTGCGGGGAGGCTTCTGTTGACATATGTGCTTCTGCTAAAATCCGAGATGCAGCTTCGGCAGCCTTCTTTTGCTCCCGTTCACGCCACCTTCGGAGTTCTCCCTCCACTGCCCTCTTGGCTGCTTCGGCCATCTCTGCCCTTTTTAAAGCATCCTGAGTTGCAGCCTTCATGTCTTTGATCTCCTTCTGAGTTGCTTCTAACCTTTTGAGGGCCTCATTTTCACTAGCCTTCACAGCTTCCACCTGAGCCATGGCAGCAGCTACTTTCATTTCTGCCAATGAATCAGACTCCTCAACTTTCTGGCTTATAGATTCAAACTCTTCCCTTGAGATAGTGATATTGGCTCCAGACCCAGAGGTTGAGGCACGGGCAGCATTAGTTCTCTCAGACAAAGCATTAATATGATCAAGTGCCCTAGTCTCGGCTTCTTTTGCCCCTTCAGCTTCTTCCAGGGCAAGTCTCAGATTCTTCTCCGCTTCCTCAAGTGCAAGTTTTGAGGCTTCTGCTTCCTTCTTCAACTCCACAGCTCTCTTTTTCATCTCTTCTGCCTCTCGTCGTGCATTCTCAGTTTCTGTTGATAGCTGCTGGAGAGTTGAGATCATTTCTTCACAAGCACCTCTTGCTCTCGATTCCTCTGCAAGGAATCCTTCAAGCTCAGACTTACTTTTCCGAAGTTTGACATGCAGATTTCCAGCAAGGGATTCTGTTTCCACTTCCTTCTCTCTCAGTTCCAAATGCTCTTTCTTCACTTTTTCCAGCTCCACTTTAAGGGACTCAACCAAGCTGCGCAAGGAGCTTTCCTCTTCAGCAACCTTTTGCAGTGACTCCTTAGCACCATCAAGCTCTGAGGTCACAGACTTTACTGACTCCAGATCTGAAGTCTTTGCAGCATCCATCTGCCTCTGCAGAGTCTCTATCTCATTGACTGTTTCAGCCAGTTGTGCTTCAAGACTTTGGGTTACTTCAGGATCAAATTCATTCTTCAAAGCAAGCACTTTCTTTGCAGATTCTTGTAGTGCAGCTTTATAAGATTCCCTCTGAGCTTCCTTTTCAGAAAAGGTTTTGGCTTGTTCTTGTTGTGCTTCCAGAGAAGCAAGCTTCACTTGTCTAATTGATTCCTGAATGACTGAAATTTCTTTAGAGAGCTCACTGACTTTCTCCATGTTTGCTTTGGCTGCACTTCCAGCTTCTGCTGCTTCATTGAAGGCAGCAACCTTGGCTTCCAAAGCTGCATTACAATCCTGATGAATCTTCCTCAGTTCTTGTTTAGCAGCATCAAGTTCAGTTATTACAGTTATGTATTGTTCCCTTGCAGCTTCTAAGTCTTGTTTCCTTGCACCATCAGATCCAGGAAGATTGGCAGGTTTTGCTTCTTCGATATGGTTTGCCTGATTCTTTGCATCTTCTGTTGCCTTGACTGCTGAATCTTTAGCTTGATTAACAGTTTTGAGTTTGTTGGTTAGATCATCAACCCTTTTTCTAGCCTTTTCAAGCTCAACAAGTGCCTGGGCCTTAGTTGTCTCAGCATTTTTTAGCTGTTCCTTTAACTTGCTCAACTCATTTTGGGCCAGGTGAAGCTGTGTCTCCTTGGCCAATACTCTCTATAATAACAACAATAAAAACAATTATAACTTTTGAAACCAAAGAGATAGTAAATTTACTTACCCTATCATTTTTAAAGATAACTAGAAATTGAAAACAAGCCAACAATAGCATTCGTTCATTTATCTAAGCATTAACTCCCAACAAAAGATCCAGTGCTTTTCCATTAATCATGATACTAATAAAAAGCAGTTCAAATAGATGCTCAGAAGTGTTCCTTAGCAGTGTTGTCTTGCTACACATGTCATCTCCTTTGCATAATACTTAACTACTGAATTCATCATGTTGCTTTTTGGTACATAAAATCAATGAGACAACCATCAAGAGAAAATGAAACACAGAAAATACTTAAATGGGCCACAAACAACACATTCCATATCTCAACAATCAGTAGCACAACATTTTAGTAAAAATTAGCATAGAAGAAGAAAAACATGATGACTTTAAAGAAGAAAAAAAAGAAGAGAAATATAATCTTCCTTGAATGCAGTACCTCTGCAGAGTGTGGTTTGACCTTCTTGATGGCAGGTTTTTCCCCGGAGAAAGCACCTTCACCAAAAAGGGTGACGGCATCTTTAACAGACTGAAACGGTGCACTAGTGTCTATTTCTCCTACCTCTACTTTTAGAGAATCAGTAGAATTCTGAGGTCCCTTGGCAACCATACTGGTTCGTCTGTTCCTTTTCTCTGTATATTCACTAGTTCAAGTCAATAGAAGAATATTTCAATGTCGTTTAAGCTAGAAGAATCAAAGGTACCAATCACTTCAATGCTTCTAATTTTACTGAAAAGTAGAATTGCATTAATAAATTTGAAGACTGATGATGATTATTTATCAACCCGGAATTGATAAACACACACACATTAATAATAAAAGGGCAAAGAAACAACAACAAACAAGCTTCAAGATCATAAAACAAGGCATACCATACCATCTGTTAGGCAAGTAGAATGATGCTATGCTGATAATACCTTAAAAATCAAATCCGTCTCAAACTTAATTCTTCAATCAATAGGCCTAATACCATCCAGTACTCCTTGACAAATGCTGCTAAAAGATTTTCTGAGATATTCAAGCAATACCCAGTTTGACGTCAAACATAACAAGGAATTATGATAAATTCCTGTGGCACCGAAGCAAATTCAAAGAAACAAATGATTTCAACAAGAAAACAAGGGTAATGAGAGAACAAAGGTGGAGCGGAAGAAATAACTCACCTTTTTTATTAGTAAACCGAAGAGAAACAAAGCCCTAACTTAAACAGTCAAAATCAGGGGAACGCCACGCCAAAACTCATCCACTTCCTCCCCAAATCACACGAACTGAAGCAAAATCACGACCGTCTTCACCGATCTTCGTTCACTTTTTCCTTCAGTCAATAATACCCTATTAATCTTTCGACCCAGGAAACAAAACCCACCAAGGAAATTCCAAGAAAAGCAAGACTCGCCAAGAAATTTTGTCGATAATTTTTTTCCCCAAGAACATATCAGGTGGGAAAGGAACAATCTTTTTGCGGGTCTAATAAAAAGGGGCAACCTTTCTCTCCCATTTTTGAAGAACTGAAACGGTAAACTGTTGCAGCACAGGGAGAGAGAAAAACAAAGTTTGAATATTCCAAATCAAAAAAGCTGTTTGTGACAATTTTTTTATTATATCAGCAAACAGCAAAAGGCCGTGGAGAGAGAAAGGGAGAGTATCTTGTTTTGACAGGGAGAGAGGGCAGAGAGAGTCACTTTTCTTGGACGGTGCATTTTGGACAATTGTGCACTTGTACTGGTAATTTAAAAGGAAAACTTGATCCAAAGGGTACAAAGATGACAAATTGCCATCACAAATAATGGTGACAACTGAAAATGACCCAAAATTGGAAAAGGGTTGGAGAGTTTTGTGTTTTTGCATATGAAAATGCACTTGGGTTGTCCTTTCTCTACTTTTCCCGATTTCCAGTTTTCCTTTCTCCTTTTCCATGGCAGACTTTTATTTTAAAACATCTTATTCCCCAATCTTAAAAAATGATTCTTCAGGTTCCCCATCTTATTTCCTTTCTCCCTTTCCTCACCCCCTTAATGGTTGTAAATAATTGTCCTTCTTAAAAAAATAAATTCTTCAATAGCAATTCTGTGTTTTATACTTTTATTTTATTATTATAAGGCATGAATGTTAGTTCATTCCTTGGTTCCAATACCAATTCATTGTTCAATGTGAGTCACCTTCCTGCTTTCCTCCTTTTCAAGAGTTGACAACCTGTATTAAGAAAAAAACTTATTTCTAGAGGACTTCATATGCAGGCTATATTCTAAAAATAAAGGCATTCTCATACAGGACAATTCTATTGACGTCTCAACAGGAATAGTTTGTTTGAATCCCACAGCACACTTATTACCCCAAACCTTTTCTCAGCCTCTTCAAATGACGTACCTGAGGCCTCAGATGGGTAAGGAACTCCCACCCATCTATCAGCCTTTAGATCAACAACATCAACAACACATGTTCCTGTTTCCTCCAAGTTCTTTCCACACCATTTACCTTGCACCTGTTGTACCTTCCCAGTACCAATCTCCAAGCCTTGTTCATCCATAAGCATCACTAACTGACCTGGCTTCCCTTGGCCAAATTCTGTGGTTCCAAAGTTAACAGGTTCTGTAAGGGCATGGGACTTTTCATTGGCGTTGATTCTTGATACGACTGAAGTACCCTGGGCATTTGACGTGCTAGCCTCTTTGCCTGGACTATCATGTGTATTATGTGAATGACCTTGGGAGGGCCCACCTTGGTTTCCTGTAAAAGCATTTTCAGCTTCCAAAATTGCAAGAGCTTCCTTACTAGCACGGGATAGCCTGGCCTTTCTGTTATTGAGCCTGTTGACAACAAATAAGACAATTTAATTTCAAAAGAAGGTATTCCTGAAACAGACAAGAAAAGTTTCCAAAACCATCAACATATATATGGTATGAAAGGCTTCCTCACCAGTTTCTTAACTGTGAACACGTAACCTCTGAACCCTGTCAAACAAATGGAGAAGATTCCTCAGAAAACTATAGCATTAACAGCATTTAAGCTGAAAACATGGTAAACTTGCATCATTCCTAACTTTCAAGTCCACTTTACTTACATGACGACTTAATTTATCAGCCCATGATTTTATGGAAGCTGCATCTCGCTGCATCTCAGGTTCATCGAGAAGAGCCCTTTCCATAATTGTAACTTGTTTATCATTCATTATTGTTCTCTTCCGCTTTCTCCGCTGCTTTTCTTCAGCCTGAACAGTATCCACTTTAAGCACACTGTCTTTAAGATGCTTGTTCAGTTTGGGAAAATCACTATTGTCTATTTGATCAAAGGAGTTTTTAACCCTGGTTGGACTTGTATCTGAACCACTAGTTTCAATATTCACAACATCTCTATCAATCTCTCTTAAACATACCAGTGTACCAGATTTATCTCTATCTTCCATCATATCTTGCTCCATTACATCATCGCCTTGATCTATTTGGTTGCTTCTTATGAAAAACTGGTCCTCTTCTTGGAAAGCATAATTCTCAGACATTTCCTCTTTCAGGTTACCATTCTGGCTGTTAAGATTTGGAGGTTCTCTTCTCAGTAAGGATGGGCATTCCCCTACACGTCGTGCCTCCTATTAATTATCAAACTTTACCATTCAGGTCAGGATGTCGGACTACAAAGTGAGGTCAGAGTAAAAATTCATCTAGAGATTGAAGAATGTGCATTAAGTCCAATATAACAGCCCATGCAACTGCAAACGGTATTTGACAAAGTTTAAAGGGCACAAAATATCTCTCCTACTTGGCCTATTATTTGGTTATCCTTGTAAACATTCAACTTACAAACAATTTGCAAAGGGGGTAGTCACTTTCCAATGTGGGACTTTGGCTTCGGTTGACAATGCCTTGCACATACTTTTTTTCCCAGAGCACCTTATCTAAAAATGTAAATTTATAATTCTTAATTAATTTTAATTAATTTTTTATATAATTTTACTAATTTTAATTATTTTATATCTTTCTAGGATAGTAAACAAAAAAAAACCTACAACTACAGCCACTGCACAACACTAACAAACAAAGCTCTTCTCTATTTAACGTTTTCTCTCTTAACAACCCTCAAAAAATGGAACTTACAGCCACAAAAAAATATAAGTATTCTATCTACTTTACTGGTTCCCTCCAGCAGAAATTGGAAAGCACTAAAAAATTTAACCATGGAAGGAGATGGTCAAGTACTGCAGAAGAAGGGAACTCAATGACAAAAAGTGAAAATATAATGATAATTATTACAGGATAGAAGATTTACTTGTTGAACTCGATTTTCTTCAAATTCACCAAGGTTAACCAGTGAGTGAAAGTCATCAGAAAACATCCTGCAGAAGACAAATGATAAAAAGTTTCAGAAATCAAATCAACAACCTTTTTGGTGCAATACATCGATTACTTTGCATCAATATAAAATCTACTAATTGAAATGGTGTATATGCATCAGTACAGCTAATCTTATTTAACATTAATGCTACATTAAGACATGTTATTAAATGCCCAAAAGCATCCATGTAAACTAAAAATATGAAATGCTAGTCTTATAAAACACAATGAATAGATATTCCCCATACAGTATCCCATTATGCGTTCACCAGCTCCTTCAATTAGAGTCTTTTTGCAAGCATATGGTACGTTAAAGTGGTGATTCAAGATGGACTTGCGCATTTTAATGCTAACACATTTCTCTTAAAAAAGTATATTAGCAATCATATCGAAAACTGTCAAAAGAGTTTTCGAGCTACCATAATGCTTTGGCAAATTTATCAAAAAGATGGTTGGAAGTTCAGTCCACCTTATAAGGTTCATGTCATCATCATTCAAAAAAGTCGGAATCAGGGATTCTGCATGACCTACTAGTGAACCTGCATTAACAATTTTCTCATAAAAAACAAGAAAACACTTGTAACCATGTCAGTTAACAGGCCAAAAGAGGAGAAACAGAATGATACTAACGTATGTTTCTACAAACATCCACAGTTTTTTGTGGACCAGAGGTGAAAGAAAAACCAGGTAATGATTTAGATGGATCCAGTTCCAAGCAGTCAAGAAACTTGTGAAGGAAGAAGTGCTTCTCCTGTGCTGTGGATTAAAGTAGGACATTTAATTAACATGATAAGAAGCTCTTCATGTGTTATAACTCCTCAGGTAGAAATTTACCTTGACAAATGTCAGGAACAAAACAATGCAGATTTGCAATTACTTTGATGAACAATGATGTTCTCTGATGAACATAAGAAGCCTGAGACATGTTGTTGGAAATAATATTAAAATCTATATTTGTTGAATTCGACATGTCTGCTGATGAAAATGAATCCAAAACCCATCCAGCTGCTGCAAATGAATCATACTCCAGGGTAGCATCTCCTTCCTTTAAGGGAAGATCAGCAGAACACCACATGGATAAAAAATCTCCATGAGAGAGTGAAAATATTGCACTCAGAAATTCAGTCTGAAGGCACATATAAAAGGACTTTGTCAAAATCTCATCATAAAGAACACCCTGAAGGAATTGTAGAAAATTTAGAGGCACAAATGAATCAAACTTACATGCAGAACGAGCAGAAGATTCACAAATTTTTGGCATATATTTGTTACAATTTGGTCTTTTTGTAACTAAAACCTAGAAAAGGTATGGATATTATGGTCTTTGAGAGTACCATAACTGGCAATCTCAGAAAATATAGCAATTTTTCTAGTGTAGGGTATAGAATATAAGCTGATAAGCAATGACACAGAATCACAGAATCAGAAGCCCAACAATAGACTTACAAAGGATACAGTGATGTGAGATCGAAAATTTGAATCATCTGAGAATGCATCAGCCAGACGCATTGCATTCAGTTGCAAAAGCCCCATAGGGTGCGTTCTATCAGAAGTAGCACTGAAATGCTTGGGATCTTTGCTGAGTCCAGCCTTCAATAACTCAAGAATCTGCACAACAATTATTTTATGGTTCACAGTTAAAGCAGGGTGCCTAAATAGAAGAAAGAATCAAGTAGAATGATAGAAGGAGAAGAGTCTATGAGAATCATTTTCTTTTCTTTTTTTCTTTTTCCACTCAAACAATATAAGGACATCCATAAAAGTTAGAAAATTAACCTCTAATGCAACAGACTTTGCCAAATCCAGGCTTCTTGGGGAGCTCGCAACCTCATCAAGATAAGAAATGCTTTCTGCTTCGCACAAATGCAACAACTGCACATTTAAGTATGGCATTAATGGCACAGATTGTGAGGAAATTATGAATTTAAATAGACAAATCACAGGGACTTACAATGGATAGTACTTTAGCTTTCAGTCTAGATATAGAAGCCATAACTGTTGAACATCTTACAAAATTTGGTGAAACATTTAGCTTCAAGATGGATTGAACCAGAAAAAGAACACCGTTTCCACATAGCTCCTGAAAGAGGACATGACATGTATGGAAAAGGATGCATTGTTGTCACTTGAATATCATATGTAATACCTTTCTTTAGATCAGAAACAAATCATCTCAACACATAGAGTCAATTGGAGACAGCTTTACATAGATCTCATCAGGGAGGTCCTCCATGCAGATATTTAAACTTTATGATAGCTATAGACTGTTGCATAGGGGCAACCATTATCCTTCTTTTATGCTTAAATATACATTCTAGCAACTTAAGAACTTTGATGACTATACTTG